ATTTTAGCACTCCAAGCATCTGTTTGGTCACAGAACGAACACGAAAGTGAGGGTGAGGACGACAGAGTTGGTTACAATTAGAAACTTTGGGGTCCTAAAGTGTAAAAGTACCAAATTTTCTGTAAGTTATTGTTTTTATTTCTAATAATAATGTTAATTTTTTTTGATGAAACTCAATATCTCTGCGAAACATGTGCATATATATTATTTATCTCTATGAGCGCCATCAATCAGCAATTTTGGAGATTGTAAAAGAGCGTCTAAGATTTATCTAAAAGAATCTTTTAATTAATAAGCAAAAAAATTAATATTTTTGTGAAATAATTATCTGACTAAAATAATCTATAATTTTTTGTTTACGTTCGGCTCAACTTTATTGTGATATTATAAGTTCATCAATTAGATATATAAGGGACATTAAAGAAATAGACATAGATACATGTTTTCACGATACACTAGTTTGATTGTTGCAGGAGCAGAAGATAGAAAATTATGTATAGACAAAAAAAAAGGAGACAACAAAAATGAAAGACCATGGCTATTATCTGTGTTACTCGCGAATTATATTTGAAGAGAAAGAAAGAAGCTAATATTGTTAAAGTGCATCATTATTAGTTGAACGAATATTATACATATTCGAGCTGTTATTTGGAACAGAGTAACGAACATTTTTTGATGGCATATGCAAAAAATCAATAACTAAAGACAAATTGAGTCAAGTACTGTGAAGGCAATAAAAGACACAAGCTATTTCATTCTTTTCAAATCTAAACTCTTTGAATGAATTGAACACATTATAAAAATAATACTACCCAGGAGGATCATTCAGGCCGTGTGAAAGGCCATCGGAAACGGCTATTAAACGACATAAAACGCCATTAATTTTCACCCTATTTCGCCGCAATCCGTCAGCTCGTTTTATAGACCGTTTTTCTTGCTAGAAAACGGCCATCGCTTTTAACACTATTCTCTTTGCTTTCAGAGCTGACGGAAAACGGCGCCGTTCTTTAACGTTTTACATCGTTTTTATGCCGTTTCAGGTCGTTTTCTTTCACCTGGGTAACAATGGATCATTAAAAGTGTCGTTAATAGTAAAAAAAGGCAGCGTATGCCGAATCTCTCTAGGGAAAAAATTTAACTGAGTTGTTATGTCAACATAAATTCATCTATAGCTTTTCAAACTTAATCAAGGACTTTTTTCAATTAGGTTAAACTCGGTCTAATTCATTTGCATTTGCTCTATTTGTTACGCAACTATTTCTTTCTTTCTTTCTTTTTTAATATTAAAATATACTCTAATACATAGTACTCATAACATTCATCTCTATAACGAGTCTATTTAGGGTGTGAGTGTGGGAGTTCTCTCGCTCTTAACCCACCCATATCAACTCATATACACACACTCACATCCATATTCACTTCCAATCACACCCTCACCCTTTTACGTGTTTTTTCAAGAGTCTTGTCTGACTGAGTAGTGCTTTTTACTGTAAGTCCTGAGAAATGCTTAAATACAAGAAAAGATACAGCAATTTTCAGCGATTTTCCGTTAAGTGCTTTACAGTGCTTAGAAATAACAAAATGTAAAGCATTTTTCAGCGACTTTTATGGTAAGTGTTAGAAAGCGCTTAGTGAAACCGTTTTCTAACCTACAATAAACAGCTTATTTGAGTGAAGCGGCTTTTAGCAGCTTAAGACGAGAATATTTAAGCACTTTACAGCAGCTTATAGAAGCATAAGCCTTTTTAAGCTGCTTGCACATAGCTTACAAAGGCAAAAATTTTCATATGGGTTTATCTATCATCTCAAAATACAAGAAGGTTTCTCTGAAAATGTCCGATTTTTCGATAAGTTAGATGATCGATTTTCTGACACGAGAATTATATTATTTGCATACCACTACAACAAGCAACACAAATTCTATCTGTTAGCATAATATTTCAATGAAGACAGGTAATTTTCACAATATAAACTGTTTCAAAAGAAATCAGATTCTTGAACATGCTTAATACCACAGTGCGAGTAAAAAATCACAATTATTCTTTCGAGAACTACATATAACATCGGTATTTAAATATAGTACTCCTCTCCTGACTTTGAATTTTAGCATTAAAAACCTTTTAAAGCACCTAATTTTATACAGCTTTTGACAAGCTTTCTAGTGATACAGTTGAAAGTAAATTTTGTTGAAAAATTCATTGTGACCTTTTACTTGCACTGTGGTATTAAGCATGTTCAAGAATCTGATTTCTTTTGAAACAGTTTATATTGTGAAAATTACCTTTCTTCATTGAAATATTATGCTAACAGATGGAACTCGCTTTGCTCGTTATAGTGGTGTGCAAATAATACAATTCTCGTGTCAGAAAATCGATCATCTAACTTATCGAAAAATCGGACATTTTCAGGAAAACCTTCTCGTATTTCGAGATGATAGACAAAATTGCTGATTTTTCTAGCGAACCTAGTTCGAAGTAAGGACTATCTACTGGTGAAAAACGAAAAACTTTATTTCTTGTTTCTACTTCGCAAAATAAAAAATACGAAAAGACATAAGAGTGACCTAATACTTTTCAGAGTACTTATATATGTAAAACTGCAATAAAAAACCTAACCTAGTACATGATCATTTTGTAAACGTTATTTTTTTTGGATTGTTTCATATGCATAGTGTTAAACAACTTTTCAGTCAACCCATTAGACAGGTCAAAAAAAGAGGATAACTGTTTAAAACAGATATCGTTATACTACAGAAGCTTGTTTAAAGCACATGACCACATACTAAATGTGTTGTTCAACGTCTGAACGCTAGAAAAACTTACAGATTTTCGGACATTTCCTACATTTTTCGTTAAAATATAGGTAAAATAGGAATTTTAATCAAAATATAGGACAAAATGAAGGATTTTTCAAAAATATAGATATTATAGAAAATATAGGTGGAATCGCAGCTCAGGGCATTATAGGCTCATGTATTGCGTACTGCACTAGTTATTAATAGGAGTTTATCTTAGTGAGCTAATCCATTATTTACTCATTGGATTTGTTAAATTCTGAATTCTGCTTTGTAGGCATTCTGCAGCCCCTCTGATCGATATCTAAGTACATTTACAGAAGTCCAATTGTGATATTTGCTGGAATGGATGATATACTCAAGTGCAGAGTGATCTGAAAAATTTCTAGTATCGATGCTTTATAAGATTAGATTTGCTATATTGCATTTGGCACGTCGTGACTACTACTACAACACTGACTATAGTCTCTTTATCCTAAATCAGGTGCGATTGAGCTTACTCCGGAAGAATCTTTGAGATCTTTTTGCATAATTATAGATAATGTGAAATTTTACTTATTTATTTGAAAAATGTCAAAAACGTCCTGCTTCGTAGCAATACTAAGTGGAAGTATTCTGATATTTCTATATAGTTTGGCCTTATACCAATCAAGGTCAATCACAGGATTACCACTCAAATGGTATCGTAAAACCCTGTCTGCTGACACATCTAATTCGTCAGAATCGAAGTTCATGCAAACGAATAGGCTTAGATGGCTACGATTACAAGATAGCTACTATTTTATAAATGTAAGTTCTTTGTGGACTACACCTCGCAACTATAGTGGACGAAAGCTTATCTATAAGTGTAAATCGTTTTGTGGTGGCCTAGGTGATCGGTTTCGTGGAATTATCACATGCTTTGTTCTAGCACTAGTTTCTAATCGTCAATTTATGATTGATATGACTCATCCAGTTGATGTCAAAAATGACTTGTTGCCTAATATGTACAATTGGACATTTGACAAAAAGACGCTGAATTTGAATCTTACTCAGAAAGTCATCCATGCTATTGATCATGCACCCGGCTTTGAGAATCAAATTCGAAGTACAAAATTCATTGAGACTTGGGAAAAATATGACGACATCGAAATATATACAAATATTGATTTGGTTTCTGATATTTTTCGAAATCCTCTTATGCGAAACAATACAATAATTGATATGTTCTTGCTCAATGTACCTTTAGAACAACTGACCTTGCACAGTTTATTTCCTTTTTTATTCGAAATTCTATTTCAACCAAGTATTGAAGTTGCCACTGTATTACAATCTATTCTTCAAGATATTGAAAATGGCTTCACACTCACTTGCATACATTTGCGCATGGGACAGAATCCATCAAATCCGTTGGATGGTAATTTTGGAGATCGAGTTTTAGCCGTTCAAAATATACTAGATTTCTTGAATAGAACGAATTTAAGAAAAATGCGAAATACACGAATTTTTGTCACGAGCGACTCAGAGCAAGCATCGTCAAGCATAGTTCGTCAATTTCCAAATCAAACTTTAACAATACCTGGTCCAATCCTTCATGTTGATCTTCCAGCTAATGGTATTCATCGTCTTCATGGATTTCGTAAAGTAATTGCCGATTTTTACGTGTTAGGAGAATGCCACATGAGTATTTTGACAGTTAGTGGATTTTCGACATTAGCCAATCGACGACGGGTAGAACCGTACCAAAACTTATTTAAATATGATGGCTCAAATAGGCGAATCGAACGCTGCCACGATATCTATCAAGATCCACAGCCATCAAAAACCGTGATCGTTGGAAAGTATTGCAGAGTCGTTTTCAATTGTTCTTCTCGCGAAATGTGAGCTGATATAGGGTATATGTGTGTGTCTTTTCTCTTCATCCACATCTGATAAAGAATAAAAACGTGAATTTTGTGATAGTACAAATAGAGGTCTGCAACAAAAGTTTGTTGGAAAAACCATGAAATACAAATTATCTTATTTTTATGATATACTCGATTCTTCATATTAAAATTGTCGTTCTGTTTGATCCATTCAAAGAAATGTCCATATACTGAACATTATATGGAACGAGAAAAGTCAGAATATGTCTTCTTTACTGCTGCTATGAATCTATTGATAAAAACCGAAGAAAATACTCCAAATGTAATCATAGAAACTTCTCAAAGTCTCTTATGGATAATTGTACTCAGAGACAGTGACTGATCATATCGTTTGAAAAAATTGCCATGTTTCAAGTGACTTCATCAAGGAAAAAACGGTCACTCGATGACGTGGAAAAATTATTTTCGAGACAGTTGGCTTGATTTGATTCTTAAAGTACAATAAATTTGTGAAACTCATGTCAATAGTTTCATTTGTAGTTTTCTAAGTCTTATTTTGTTATCAATGTATAATTGATTTTATTCTAATTGTATTCGTTCAACACATTCGTACTCAGCCGAGAGATATTCCGGATCGAAACTTATCTGGCAAAATCAGGACCCATACAAATAGTTATTATTAAGAGTTAGCTTTCTAAAACCTCTAGTTTTCTACTGTATAATCGAGCCATAATTTCAGGAACTTTACACAATGTGTGCTTTTGACGTCTTCAATATCTTTCGAATTGTTAACAATTATTCAAAAGCCACGCATTGTATTGTTACAGATCTACCAACGGGCACTGAGACCAAGTAAATAAAATATTTTTTCATTTCTCTTTTGATATGAAAAATCTTAACTAAGCATTCGCTTAACTTTTTTCGAATCAAGATTATGCAAAAATACAATAAAATTGATATCACACTGAAATATTAAGCCACATCCATGTAAGTGTCACTTGAGAGTAAGATTTTTACAATGACCATTTTTTAAATAAACTGATTAAAGTGAATCGAATATAGCATATAACACATGGCACGCTCTACTGCATGGATGTCACGAGAAATTACCATAGAAAACTGTTTTTTTATTCTGTTTTCGATGCTATTTTTGGAGAAAAAGTTGAGTTAATATGCTCAATAATGGATGTCCATGTATAACTTTCTCTTATTTCGTTTTTTTTAGTTTATTTCTCACGTATAATGGAAACGAAACTAACTTTCATGGTTGAAGAACTAGTGATCATATAGTATTACAAGTTAAAGTTCGATGTTGATAAATATATCACAAACTATTTGTCACAGTTAGAGATCTATGATTTCTGATTTCGGTAAAAAAAAATGTCAGTTATAAAATTCTGCATAATTATTTCAGTTGATCCGAGATATGTATTGGTTACAAAAAAGCTAATGAAAGACATCTGAAACGGACACTATACGGACTTTACTTTCGTTTAACAGGTCGGCCAACATAGGTACATCATGAAAAATAGATCGTTCGGGATATCAGCTTGTTTTCATTTTAGTAATTTAGTCAAAAGAGAATAAATACATTTATACTAGTACAACGCATACTTGTAGTCATGCTCTAGTTTTCAAGAATAGAAGAATTCTCGAATTATAATAAAGTTTTATATTAGTCATTACCATTATCAGTTATTCAATATTATGACTGAGGTGTGGGTGTAGCCGTAGACGTATTTGCTGATGTGAGTGCTGATGTATAGAATATTTTAAATAATTGTTTCCTACACTTTAATTCAATCAAAAATCGACGATGACTGCAATGCACTAAGTTTCTATGGAAAGAATTTTTAAATCTCAGCCTCGACACAAAATTCAATATTTCACATTGAAGATTATTCAATCAATATGTTTTATGTGCATTCATTTCGGTTGCTGTTATTGATGTCGTCCGACGAATGACGAGCTCAAATAAGAAAGAACGGCATCATCAGAAGAAATGTAACTACATCAACGAATAAAAGAGCAAGGCAAACAAACAAGCCACCCTATAACATAAATTTTCTCTTACTCTACAGGAATTGTTAAACGCAAGCTAGAGAAAAGTCAAGGAGAGACACAGGCATCTTGCTCTTACTCAATCATTGTCAGAAAGAAAAGAAAATGAATAGCATTCGTAAGATAACAGATGAGAAGAAACCACGTAAAATGTAGATTCGAAATCGTATTAGAGATCCAAGAAGAAAACAGGATTAAACGAAATAAGATGTTTTTTGGGTGCAAAAATCTTTGATCTTCTCGTTAGAGCTATCTCAGACAATGCTTAGTGACACTTTCAGATTCCCAGCTTCGAAGAATCTTTTGTTCTGGTTTTTGGACCTCAATACTCCACAACGTTTCTGAAAACATTTTTCACATTTGAATATTTCCAAATTCATCTTATCATGCGCTAGCAATCTGCAGATCATGAATATTTATATTATAAGTCTCAAAAATGATTCAGGAAGGCATAATCTGCAAAGTACCTCGATTTTCTTGTTTTCTGCTATATCCTCACTCATCTACAGTCACTATGGAAGATGAGATTACATATTTTATCGTCGTATAATGGTCAAATAAATCAAGTATTAGTTTGAATTTTCTAATCGATCCATTTTATCAATACGAAAATTTTGTCCCGCTCGAATAAGTACTTCTTGTTCGTCATGAAAATATGAATATGAAGAAATATCAATGCTACGATTTTGACGGCTATCAGAATTAGTGTCAATAATGGACAGAACCTTCGTGCCAAATGCTTCAACAACGAATCGATTCGTTGAAGCGAATAAAAAACTATTCCATGTTTTAATAGTATCAATAGCTTGCTTGTAACTAACAATAAATCATTGAATTATCGAGCGAAATATTGTTCGCATTGCAACATTACTGAACTTCATCATGGCACCTCGATAGAGTCGTTCAGTGAAGAATTTCAGCGAGAAAGGTTCACAATGTGGTAGATTGTGAAGAGACCAACAGAACCGACTCAGTGTTTCAAGTTTACTTGTATCATTGTCGCGCAGTATGCGATTGATGAGTCGATAAAGAAACGGCTCGCACGGATATATGTATATGTCGTAGGACAAATTAAAATCTAGTTCAGTTTTAAATCGAACTAGGACAGATTGAAATTTTAATTCTTCCTAGTTCAGATTAAAATTTTGAAGTCAACTAGTTCACTTCACAATCATTTCAATGTCAACTAGTTAACTTCAAAATTTTAATCTGAACTAGGAAGAATTAAAATATTTTAAACT